CCAGGGCTACTCATGTCTTCTTCCATTGTAGGTGCATTTTAGCCTCTGTGAAAGCCCTGGGTCCGGGTGAAGGGCTGCCACATCCAACCGAGCTGCTCCGGCCCCGCAAAATCTCCTGCTCGGGGGTCGCTGACCACCGACACCAGACCACAACTTCTGCCTGTCCACCCGTTCTCCTGAGGTGACCTCACCACACGGTTGTCTTCTAACATCCCACCTTCCGTCGTGAACCACACGAAGTGTCGAGTGAGTTGCAGCCTTGTCCTGGCCCTGTGGACATCTATAATCCTCTATGCTCTTTCTGGCAAGCACATGAGCATGATTTGACAGCTCTTATTACAAAAAAAGGCATTTTTGCTTAGAAACAACGTGCCTTACCGCTTTTATTAAACATGAATCGTCAATAAAAAGCTTATCGCTTTGCAGAAATAGCAACAACTAGTTGCTGGTTTTGGTTCTAAACAATTTCTTTTAGGTCACGTCAGGACAGGCCAACGCCGAGAGCGGGAACACCACCAGTGCATTAAGCTCCAGATAACACAAGCAGACAGAAAGACCGGGCAGGAGTTTCACCCGCAGCCTCAGCTCTTACTGCAGTAAGTGGAAAATCACCACCGATGAGCTCCTTGTTCCACCACTAAGCTAACACGACCCCGCTCCACTGGAGACAGATTTTCAGTGGGAGCTGGATTAAGCCTTATTTGCTTAATAAACTAATAACTCATAGGAGGAATCATGGCCGAATAGGGCCCCATATGAGCTCAGCGTGCGTGTGCCCTCCTGACCCGCAACAGCCAAAACCTTAATTTCACTCTCTGACAACAAAGCCTCAAAACCATTCCTTAACTACACAACTTTTGCAGGTGGCTGTGCGTCTAGGGCTGCCGGAGGAGCCTCCGCCGTTTTCTGCCTGCGAGCTGCCTGCCGTGGCGGGGGGGCAGCGGCAGTAAAATCTGAAACATGAAGCTGTGTCTGCAGATTTAAAAAGTTTGTAAAACGTGTAAGATGTGATCAGATCTGGTGAAACCGACAGCAGTAGGTTCGCTCGTGTAAGTTTATATCACTGGCATCGGGCACGTTGTTAAGAGTGTACTACTACTGGTTTTTCTCCCATTGCAGTGGCACATACTTGAGTATAAGGAAACAAAACAAAACACACAAAAAAAGAAACCCAAAACCTATTTCAGTACGCACATCAATCCAAAACCTCAGTAAACTGATCTTGAGCCACTTGGAGTTTTCCATGGATAAACCAAAGGGAATCTTCAGCAGCTGCTTTGTTGAGGAGGAAGAGACCTGGAAGCTCAGAGCAGTTTCACAGCATCGTGTGGCTGTGTCGCTGTCAGAGCTTTGCAAGCAATGAGCAAGAGAAAAACAACATTCAGGAGCTTTAACTTCAACTGCTACCCACTACGTTTCTTAAAAGAAAAAAAAGAAAAAAATATATTTTTTTAGAGCTTGAAGGTGACCATGATCCCAGCCTGAAAACGTGCCTGGAACGTGTAACAGCCCCTGACATGCCATTGCTATAGTCACTGCTGTGTTTGCAACTGCACTTTCCTTAACGTATACATTTTAAAATAATGCTTTTGCTGGGATGACAGCGCTGCCAGAAAGCCTAACAGGGCTAATCATTCCAAAGTCATTAAAAAGTTGAGCTAATAGACATTTAATGATAACAGAGGGGAGTCATCCAAGTTAGCAGAAACTGGTATTGAATCCTAGCTGACTCTGAGCTGAAAAAACACATTCCAAGGCAATAACAGTGACAAGGTTCTCCGCAGCTCTGCACACACCGTAGTCTCTCTGGGGAAAGGAAAAAATGAGAGTGCCCTGTTTGTGGAACTTTATTCTTCACATATATCTTGAATTACATACTTTCAGGTTAGATTGGGTATGACAGGAGATAATAGGAAGACAGCAAAGAGAAATCCTAGATCAACCTCGTTTGAAATAAAAAAAAATAAAATTCAGCTTTTAAACCCTACTCCACCTCCAATCAAATGAAACACGAGTTGCATCCAGCGTGCATGTTTTGACTGCATCCCACCATTATCGAGCTGTTCATCTTAGCAAAGCTCATTTATACAGTCCTAAGAAAGAGCCCAGGCCTTTTGTAAAGTTGATCCTAAGTGATGAAACCTAACCTCAACCGTGAGTCGGTGGGTGGGGTTGTGTGTCTCTGAAAAAAGTCCGAGAGAGAAAACAACAAAAAAATGTTTTTCTTTTGCTCTTTTTGTTAAATACAGAAGGTAGAGCTTAGCAGAGCGACTAGATTACACATTGCCCTGAGATTCATCTAAATCCTGCCTCAAGCAGTCTGGGAATCATACCTGTCTGTCAGTCAAGCTTGAATTTAGTACCATAAACTTGTGGGCAGCATGAGGCTGGGAGCGCTGGCAGGATCTTTTACCTTTTCAGGTACAGCCCAATGTTTGCTTGTGAATTTTACAGATGAGTTGAAGCAATTAGACGTGAACAATTACTGCTGATCGAGTGTCTGTGCCTCGGGAGCGAGCAGCGTCTCCCACAGCGGGGATGCTCCCTGTGGGACGAGGGCTGCTGAGGTGCTGCTTATTCCCGGGGGCAGCGGGAGAAGCGGGGTGCCCCCACCCCTGCACCCAGCCCTGGCTGCGGCTCCAGCTGCGCTGGGGCCTCCTGTCCCAGCTGGGCTGCATCGCCTCTGTCCTCCAGCTGCAACCACTGATACACGTCCTCAAGCTTCACCTTTTTTTTTTAATTTTTCCTTTTTTTTTTTTTCTTTTTTTCCTTCCCCCCCCCCCTTTTTTTCTAGGAGCCACAGAGGCAGAGTGACCCAAAGGCAGCCCCACACAGTCAGCACACGGGCACGTATGCACGCTCAGTCCTGACTTGCATTTGTCACTCCTTGTACACGCACACGTTTGGCCATGTAATGTCCATTTCCCAGTTTGCCTTCCTATTATATTTTATATTACCTCTGGTGAGCTTGTGCCAGAAGAAAGCAGAAGGAGGAGCTGTTAGAAAGGCTTTTTCGCTTTAAGATTCGAGAGCACATTTTTAGCATTAACTTTTTAGGCTCTGGTCATAAAACGTTGGAGGACGCGTACAGTTTTGTGGGTAAATTTGCAGCGCTTCCAGAGGGCCAAATGAACAACAATCTCTTGCTGACAGCACCCAGCTCACAACACGCTACTTGAAAGACAACCAATTCTTAATTTGCAAATCTCAGCAACAATAAGCTATTAAAATATGGAATTATGAACAGCACGATACTGTGCAAAATAAATAACAAGTCTCCAGTGAATGAAAGAAATTATTGGCAGCAGTACAGCCACCATTACCAAATCTCAGAAATGTAAACACTAAAAAAAAAGAAAGTTACAAGTGCCATAACTTTCCTTCCAAAAACGTCAAAACGCGGGTGCGTGTCTGCGTTGCAGAGGTAGATGCTGATGTTTCAGCCTAGCGTGTAGTTTCAGTTGCAGATCATCGATACCGACGCAAAGACAGTAAGTTGCTTTGACCAATGCACGTGATTCCACTTCTAATCTTTCCTGTCTATGCCAGCTCTTATTAAACACAAAATATTTGAATTTGCTGTTTCAATTGATCTGTATAGTTTCCTCTTTGCAAGACTGTTCCATAAATGCTCCGCGTTGAGAGAATGTATTGTTTTTCAGTGTAAAGCATATTTCAACTCAGAAAATGTATTTTGCATTTACTAATAATCTTTATGGTTTCTTTAGTTAAACCAGCTGCTGTATAAAACAGAAATTATATCTCGGTCGGCTGGCTTATTCTGTATTACATGGGCTCAGGGCTGAACTGTAAAAGTTGAAAATTAAAAAAAAAAAATCTTCTCTCATAGTTTCTAAAAAAGTTATTTAAACCGGTTTTAATCAGCTATCTTGCATGAGCGAAATACATAATGCTGTGCTAGAAATAGCAGGCTGTCTCACATTCATTGCCTATATGTAAGAAATTTGATTAGAAAGAATGATTTCTAATTGAAGCTTTGTGTCTGGTTGTGATTCTCCTTTCAATACGTCAAGGCAATTAAATCAGCTAAAGATAGTCTTTAACATCCACTTCATGCAGTTAATTAAGTGGTGAAAAATGAAATACTGATTAAATGAATCAAATCCAATGTTGCAGGTAGCAAAGTTTAAATTGGAAACAAGAATTCACACTCAGTTGTTGCTTTGCTCTTTTAGGTATTTTACTTTAAAGAAATACAGCTTTCTTAACCTAACTTCACCGTTAAAATATTTCATAATGGCATGTATTATCCGCAGACTAAAGCGAACCTTGATTTAAGAAACACCTAATAACTCATCAGCATAATTGAAAACAAAATGCTTCACTGCGTCCTTCCTCCGCCTCTTCCAGCCTTTTTTCCAACACAAAAGGATAAATAACGTTTCAGCCCAACAAAGAATGGATTTAAGTGCAATAAATGAAAAGAAAAAGAAAGCCACTGAAGATCCTGGTTCAGCATGCAAGTATTATGAGTTGTAGCAAAGTGTATAAGAAGGCATAATAATCTTCACGCACGTGTGCATTCAAATCCAAAGCCCCATACATACAACTACATTGGCAGCATTATCAGTTTTGTATCTTCATTCTTTCCATTAATTTCACATTACAGCTTCTGATCAACCCAACGGTTTAACACAGCAATGCAACTGAACTGGAACAGGAGCCAGACAATACTACTAATCCAAAATCAGCAAATACAGGCTTTGTATTCCTAAGAAAGTAGCCCCAATTTTTATCAGGTAGAAGATAAAAAAATAGGGATTGTTTGTGAATTGAACAACAAGGTGGAAAAACAGAAAATGCGTATTATCTGCAGCCCATAATCAAAATTACTCTATTCTGCATTTCACATCTGTGCCTTATCTTTTACCATAACAGCAAACAGGCCAAAATCTGTTGTGAATTGCTGTTATTTTTTTTTTCCATTGACACCTTAAAGTTCCTTAAAAAAATAAGTCCAGAAAGTGAACACCACATACCTGATCACTTATCTGACATGCAACAAGGTTGTGCTGATTGTAGCATCCAGCAAACTTGATATATTTGAGCCAGTTTCCTACATCTGGTTGACTGGCATCTATGCAGAACTTCACATTGCAAAACTCATCCAAGATCTAAAAGGAAGAACATGAAAGAGTAAATCTTTCTGTCGCTGTCCGGGCATACTAATCAAAAGACAAATCACAGGTTTCCAGATAAACAAATGGATAATAATAATATAGGCATGTTTATTCAGAAATACACCCCTTTGGTGAGATTTGTTTTTTAGGAATGATCAGAATACACACATATTAATAAAAGGACGATAAATGTACTGAAAAATGTCTTGACAAATGTTTACGTGTAATCGAGATGTTGTCTAATTCTTGCTAAGAAATGCTACGATAATTTAAGAGGGATCTGATTTCTTTGGCATTCATCAGTGACCATTTACATTTAAAATTATTATTTTAATTAAATATGATTCTGTCAGGGAATATAACAAGAATTACTAAAATAGCTAGTGTTGGCTTCATTTGAGGTTTGTGTTTTGTTTCAGGATTTACGTTGTTTGCAGCACCCACTTAGTCTTTTTGTATTTGTTACTCTGAACCAAACTTTATTTGGTAGGCAGAGTTATTCATCTTGTTTGAATATTACGCTTCCCAAACAGCCCTTCTGTGCAACACTTAAATCACTCCCCTTAATTGAAGCAAATAACAGAACTCCCTATGCCAAACTAAAGAAAATAAATGAAAAACAATGTAAACGCTCATGCAAAACGTGGTAGTATTCAATGCATACCAATAAATGGTTCCAATTATGCAGACAATAAACAAATATAATGAGATTGCTTCTGGACAAGCTAAAGAGGATGTTCTATTCTAATATTATGACAAATTCCTAATTATTACATATGAGTGAATCTCATTATTTATTTGCAAGCTCCACCACCGGCCTATCCTCAACTTCCCACAGCATCCCAGCAGCTCCCTGCTCCATTTGTAACTCCTCCGGCTGGGCACCGGCAGCAAACCACCCGATTTTATTACCAAAAAACCCTTCAAACCCACGCCCTGAACGACAAGAAAAGGCAGAGGGAGGCTGTTTCCCCGACGGGAAACGTTTGCACCCACGTCCAGCCCCGGGGCACTTCTGGCCTCGGCGCTGGGCGGACGGGAACCCCGCCGCGCCGTGCCGGTAACGAAAGCCCACGGAAGTTTCCCCCCACGGGCTCGGGCTGCAGCCTCAGCCCGCTCCCCTTCCTCCATTAACCGAGCCCCGCGGAAAGCTGCCATCCCCCCGGGGGCGTCCCGCCCCCGGGCAGCCCAGCTACGCTAGGCGTGC